GGGGGGGGGGGAGACAGAGACAATGAGAAGCTAGGGGGGGAGCGGGGGACAGACAATCAGACAGAGACAGACTTAAGTTGGGAGTGTAAGAAGCCGAACGATTTCCCTCCCTATTCTGATGTCCTGGCTGAAACACCACCTGCACCCTGCCGTTCTCACTGGGATACTCCCGCTGTTGCCACTACAACTACTCCTGCCGCTGTTAATGCGGTGTTGAAAAACAGGAGCGTCCGACTAGACGCGGATCTGGTAGAGGCGGGGGACGGCAACGGGGCGGCTGCAGCAAGCGGTGGTGCTTCCGGGAAGGGGAGAGGGGCGGCGGCAGCGGCGGCAGCGGCGACAACCCTCGGGCCTGACGGGAAAAAAAAACAGGTGCCCGCCCGGTGGCGGTAGGGAAGACGGCTGGCTGTACGGTAAATGTCATACGGAACGGCGCTCAAATGGTAGTGGTAATGGATGGATGGCTGTACGGTAAATGGCATGGAACGACGGCAGTGGTGTGGATGTGTTCGGTGTGGCGGCAAGGTTTGAAACTGTTATTCGCGAGAGAGAGAAAGAGAGACAGAGACAGAGACAGAGAGATATTGCTTGTTTTCTATTTCGTGGGGCGTGACGCATAGGGTGCACAGGAAACATGGAGCTGTGAGTTTCGTTGTTTGGAGATGGTACGGTGTGGCGGTGTGGGACGATAGCCTGCTGCGTGGGGGACATGTAAGAGGCGTGCCAGTGCCCATGCCTGGTGACACCGCCCTGCTGCTAACAAGCTGCACCCGTCAGGGTTGGACCAGCCGTATGGTGGGGCCGGAGAGTGGTATTTGGTCTTTTGTCGTACTGTTTTTTTTCAATGGACGAATGCTTGGTTGTTCGGTCTATGCGCAGGTGCCTGTTCCATTGAACTCGGACGACCCGCTCTTCTGCAAGGTGCGAGACGTCCACGTCGAGCAGCTCATGCCCTTCCTACAGGACAAGGTGAGAATTTGTTGTTGTTGTTGTTGTTGTTGTTGTTGTTGTTGTTGTTGTTGTTGTTGTTGTTGTTGGTGGTGGTTTAGCTGCAAGTAGAGTGGTATGCTGTTTGTGACGGAGATCATTGGCTTCTGTCTCAAAAAAGATATAGTAGCTGTCGCTAAAACGAGCGACAGCTGATAGATGTAACTGTCGTCAGACGTGTGCGTCCGCGGGAGGTGGAAGAGACCCTTTCTTCTTCTTTTTCTCTTTGCAATTCACGTCATTGGTTACCCGCGACGGCGCTGAAGACGCCCATGTCCGTGTACTTGACCCTCGTACTCTGTGCTAACTCCCCAAGTCTAACCTCTTCCTGCAGCCTAGCCTTCATCGTCGGCGAATTTCCAAGGTTACCAATCCTGTCGAAACTCATGGGCTCTACCATGAGGTCCACAAGTCTCTTCGCCCTACTGAGACAGACGAAAGTAAGCCCCGTGCAGGCCTCCTTGGGCCCCAAGTCAATGACGGCCTTGGCTAAAGTCTGCCCCTGGGACTTGTGCATCGTAATTGCCCAGCAGAGCCTAAGGGGCAGCTGCGTCCTGACCTGCGTCCCCCCGTCCTGCCAGGTGGTGTCGACGGGAGAAATAGGGACACAACGTCTATACCTCTCCTGAGACGACCATTCCCCCCCCGAGTACCCTTCAAAC